GCCAGCCCCGGGGCGAGGGGGAGGAGGATCTTTGGCCGCAGACACCGTGGATGCGGTTCCGATCGCTATGAGGCTTTCTGCTTACAGCGCGGGTCGGGGTAGGGGCGCTGCTGGCCGTGGCTGTGTCTGTCCCTCTCCCGTTTTGCGTGCACAAAAGGGGCTGGTGGGCACAGTTTTCCTGCGGTGCCTGCCTCGTCCTGCCCGGTAGGAGAGTTGCGTGGCTGAATGATTGATTGGCTTCTCTGCCCTCAAAATTTTGCGATCGCTATGAGGCTTTCTGCTTACAGCGCGGGTCGGGGTAGGGGCGCTGCTGGCCGTGGCTGTGTCTGTCCCTCTCCCGTTTTGCGTGCACAAAAGGGGCTGGTGGGCACAGTTTTCCTGCGGTGCCTGCCTCGTCCTGCCCGGTAGGAGAGTTGCGTGGCTGAATGATTGATTGGCTTCTCTGCCCTCAAAATTTTGGTGTAACTGCTGTGTCTGTAAAGAGGAAGTGGTGCGTGGAGTGGGGGAGGGGGGAGCCCTAGGCTTTGTTTTAGCTTTTTTATAGGTAACTTTCTTAGAAAAATCGAGTAGTGATGCTTAAGAGTAAAGCTCTGAAAAGCACTTTGTGTGTTGCAGTGCTGCTTGCCAGGAGAAGGCTTTTCTTTTTTTTTTTTTTAAGGTTTCTTGCCCGTAAGTATTTTCTAGTGGTTTTGGTGCCAATTAATCAGATTTTATCAACGTAAATAACTTCTGGGACCCTTTCGTAGTGCCTAGCATGACTCTTCCATAAACTCTTCTAACCTTCTGGTGGTATTTTGTTTTTTCATAAAAACAAAGGTTTTAGGCGAGAGCTCAGCTCTTTGAACTTGCGTATCCCAGATACTGCTTGATACCTTTTATACTGTAAAAGAAATTACATAACCAACACAATAAGAGGGTAAAACTGAAAAGGCAATTGTTTCCATTACAAGCTCTCACACTGAATGGTTGAAAATCCTGAAAAAACTACTCTGAGCATGAGACTCATCTTGTTGTTCATGGTTAATTTAAGCCAAAGGTGGAATGTCCTTGTGTGCCCTAAAGCGTTCCTGTGCTCTTCACCTCCAGATACTAGTGTGAAACCCAGTAATTGACTTGCTGATGCCATTTTGAGGCATCAGCATCTGAGAGTGGTTTTTAAGCCTGATTTGACGGTGACTAATGCTGTGTTAAATCTCATTTGATACTCATTTTTTGGATTCAGAGCCAACACACAGATTTCTCTTTAGATATCTGCATGAACAGTTTGTTGTAATGCTGTTATTTGTTTAAATGGGCTTCTTTCCTTATTTTGATTAGTAGTTATATAAGGGTGTGCAGACATTGGAGGTAAATAAGTATTATTGCAGGCTAAGATAATCGGTGACGGTTGAGAGACTCTTGCTTATTTGGCAGAACGCTTTTTTTTTTTCTTGTCACTTAAACCATATCTGTCTTTCTTTAAGCTGAACTTGTGATCTTTTTACCTGCAGAGAGGAGAAAAGGTGAGTTGTGAGAGCGTAGCAGTTGTGTGATTTGTAGTACGCAGTCCTTCTTACAGAGATTGCTTTTACCCAAAAAAAAAAAAAAGGCTCCTTCTTTTACATACAAGGTAGTAAAGAATTGTCTTAGTTTAAAACCTAATCTTAACTAAAAAGTAGGCTTTGATCTTTCTAGAACAAGGCTGCGTCAAGAATAATTTAATATAAAGCTCTTTATAAACTTGAAATTATAAACTTGAAAATAGAGTTGTCTTCTGTTCTGACAAACAGGGTTTTCTTTTTCTGTTACTGCAAAAAGCTGTGGTAATGCCTGCGGACTTCACACTAAACGTTTTAAAAGATAGGGCCGCAACTTGGTTGTTGAGTTAAACTTGCTGGCTTAGCAAGGTCAAGGCAGAATGATCTTTCAAGAAATCTAGGCTACGCCTCAGTTCAGGGTTTTAGTGGTAATAGTTTTGGTTTTTGTTTTGTTTTTTAACTGACTGCTACTTCTCAGCTATGAAAAGGCCAGATTTTTAACTGCCTGTTCTGGGTGGTCCAGTGGCCCTGTATGGAACTTCACTGGTTTTTAGTCTGCTCTCCAGGTTCTCATTTTGTGTATAACTGTAGGTTCTAGCTCTGAATGCAAGCATCTTGCTATGTCTCAAGTTATCAAAAATAGCGATACAAAACTGTTTGTATTTTAACTACAGTTTCGTCAGTCAAGCTTAAATTATACCAATAAAAATACTAGTGTGTATGTTACCGTTGTAACTCCTTGAGTTATGCCAACATTGGAGAAAGTTATTAACCTGAAGAATGCTGTGCTTAGTTGTGTCATCTAAGTCTCTACTGTCCTTTCTTTCTGAGGCTACCTGAGAAAGTTAACTCACTGAAAAATTAATGTCACTACTGCAAATAGCTAATGAGCTAGTGGATGGTAGTGAAGCTGACCAATCCAATTGATCAGTAAAAACTGATTGCAGAATAGAGAGAAACTTGGCTGTTGTTCTTTGCTCACTAGAAATTATTGTTGTTCTTCTTACTCGGGTGCAGAAGACCTTATCTTGCTGATGCCAAAGGCCCACACGATAGTCAGAAGGCTATGCTGCTAGCTGTGTTTCCAATGTAACTATGCAAAGGTACTGCCTTCTGGCTCTCTGTAGTTGGGGTTAATGCTTTAACCACCAAGTTTTCAGGGTTTGGGCAATACTTCTAGAAAGACCCCCCCCCCAATGCATCTTTTTTTTCTACTTAATTGAAGTGCCTGTCATGATGAAGTCTGTCCTTTCACTGAGGAAGGCATAACTTACGTAGTAAATTATTTGCCATCCTAAGTGAGTGAAATGTAACTGGAAATATTATTAAGATGGTATCCCTTTAATGGTTGTCTTATTTTTTTTAATAGTATTTCCATTAGTAGTTTTATTTTATGTTTAACCTGGGTTTATACTCCCTTTCTCCTCCCTACTATAACTACGACTCCATGGGAAATGTTCCAGCTCTTTGAGCTCTTTCTGCTCAAGGAGTAATATTTATTTTAGATGTAAAATTAGAACACCTGCTCACCTAGAAAATTTGGAATCTCTGGAGTGTTGAAACTATCAGTGTGTTAGCGCTGTTACTTAACACACATGTATACCACATGAGGTGGTATACATATGCTGATATCTTACCTATATCTCACTCCAGACCACTTTGGTACCTTGAGTTCAGCAAATGCGTTGCTGTGCAGTGCAGTATGTGCTTTTGATTTTGCTTTATTACAGTACCTAGAGGCTGACATCGAAGAGTTTCCTGCATTAGAGTAATGTTGGGTATTTATGGCAAAATAATCGATGACTGAAGTAAGGCTTGGCTGTTGAGGTCTAAAAGGCTTAAGTGATATTGAGTGAAGTACTATCTTTAGTTGCTATTAGAGCATGATGGGTTTTCTTTCCTGCTGTATCTGAAAATAGTTTTGTTTTCTTTTGTAAGATCAGCCTAATTAAAGCGTGGGATGCAGCTCTGCTTCATCTTCAGATGCACAACAGTACTTTATAACTAAAGCAAATAAAACTTCAAAACAAATACGCAAACTAAAAAAGAGTATCTCACTTAACTTTAAATGATGCTAACTCTGTTATTGATCTAAGCAAGCGGTGTTTTTCTTTGTCTCTCCTGGTTTTCAGACATATCAGGAATCAACGCTTTTTTATGAAGAGATCTTGTGACTTGGATTATTAAATGTGATGACTCTTGTTGTTTTGGTTAATGGCTTAAAAAGAAAAGTAATCCATGAAAGCAGCTAGTTTAAAAAAAAAAACCCACTTTTGTTAGAAAACCGTAAATTACAACACAACGATTACGAGATAGGATGACTTCCTGTGTTCACTCCTACTGAAACATAGGAATACAGAAAAACCTGAATTTCATGGTGAGGAATAGGGAATCTTTTGTAATACGAATAGCTCCTAAGAAAGTCAAATGCAAAAGCTGTGAAACTCCTTTAACTTCAAAGTATCTATTTTAATAGGAACTTCTGGAAAGTTTTGGGGAGAAAGTGCTCTTGACATAAGACCCATGTTGTACAGACATGCCATACTCGCTAAAAATGCTGGGAAGGTCTTATGTTTAAAGCAGGACTTGGAGCCCACTAAAGTTACTATAAGAAGAAGAGATACGTAGTTAACTCTTCCATTCAGTTTCTAGCTGAGCATAGATGCTCTCCCCACTGCCTTTTTTCTCCCCTCCTTCCCCTGCAGGCCTGTGTAGCATGGTCTCTGAGCTGGGCAGTAGGAATGTCTCCTGCATCTGAAGTTTATGCTGCAAAGCAGTGAGTCCTTGGCTAATATAGGGACTAATATAGGGAGAGTATAGGGACTGTAACTTAAATGGAGCCATTTAGTTTTTTCTTGTCTTGTTACAGCACTAGATGTACTCCCTTATGTCAGTGCCGGGAATGATTTCACAAGAGAGGTAGTTCTTGAACTAAAGGAATGAATCAAAAGGCCTAACTTAGTAGCAATTTTGCTGAATACTCTTTTTGTATCTTAAAGGCAAGACTGTTGAAAGCCCTTTCTAGTTGTAGACTTTGTGCACCCTTTTTATATAGGTTCTCCTTTTGACTGCTTCTTCAGACACATAAGCCGAAATAATGAAAAAGAACCTGTTGTTTTAAAATTGTGTGTGTGTGTATATATATATATATTTCAAACTAATGCCATATGTCTAACTGTGCCTTCGTTTCCTTCTAGGTCTTCTTTAAATCACTTGCAGATACTTACTCTCAGCTTTGAACTGTAAGAATTAAATCTACTGAATGAGTTGCTTTATCTCTTGGCAGCAATCTACACAGGTTTCTAAAATGATCATCTTTAATGAAAGCAAACTTAAGTGTGAAAAGGTCATCTCAACTAAAATGAGACTACAAGCTTAGTTTTGGTAATTCATAAGTTTCTAAATCATGTTTTGGGCTGAAACCTCCTTCATTCTTGGCCTCTTCCTCAACTCAAATTTATTTTAGAAAACTTTCAGGTATTTAAACAAATGAAGCAAGGATCAAGTGAAGCATCCTTCTATTAATGTCTCTGAAGAACAGTATTCCATCCTTCTGAAGCAAGGATTTAACTCTGCAAGATTTGGGGCTTTTCAGCTTGGTGTGCTGTAAAGTGGTATTTAGGCAATTTTTCATTGTGATTCCAACTTAGAAGTACTTGTTTAAATTCCCTCAGCTTCTTAGACTGGCACCCTGGTTTCTGCACTCTATCAAAACCAGATGCAATAGAAGTGAAGTAGGAGAATTGTGGATTTTAAGGCTTCAGCGTTCAAGGAACTGCGTGTTTGTACTTCTTACTCCAATGTTTTTAGTTTAGAAGATAAAGGACTCCTTAATCTTTCATGTATATGCATTAAGTGCCCAGAAGGCTGCTATACAAGGTGCATACAATAATGTATATTTTAGGACAAGTAGACTAATTTTCCTATGAAAAAGTTCAGTAACTCTTCCTCAGATACTTCATAGATTGCTCTGCTGTTTGTTTTGCCTTTTTTCCCCACCCCCCCCTCCAGTTAAACACTTGGTCTTCTCTGGCTTTTCTCTCGTTGTCCAGAGAGGTTGTAAAATCCCCATCCTTGGGGAGAGTCAAAACTCACCCTGAGAATCATGATTTAACTCTCAAGTTGGATTTCACTTTGAAGTTGACCCTGCTTTAAAGTGAGGAAAATCATTGGATAGTTGAGAGCATTAGTTCAAGCATGTTTTGTTTTTTTGTTTGTTTGGTTTTTTTTGTTTAGCATTTTATATGTACAGTGACAAATCAGTTCTACGTAACAACTGTTTGTTGCACAAGTATGACTTGTCCAGGTTCTTGCTAGTATCTCAACTGGTATATATTTTTAAGAATGTTTCAGAGGACTGCTTTATTTTACAGGTAATGTTGTACTGCATGCAATTTTTCTGAAGAAGGATAGGTATGAAGTCTGAATAGGATGTCAGTGTTTGATTGTCTAATGTATTAGATGATGTGGATGCAGACCTAGCTAACAATTCTGAGGAACCGTAACGTTGAGACATATGTTTCCTTAAACTTGTGTGTGACTTTAACTGTTTCCATTTTTTTCCTATGAGTCATTTCTGGTGGATTTTTACAATGCTTAGAACACTTTCTCTAAAGTGAAACAGGTGCTCTCATCACTTCAGACATCCTTTCTTTTTTTCCCCCCTAAACTTGCATCTGGAATGTGATTCTTAATTTCTGAGGTATTCAAGTGTGTGTGTGTGTGTTTTTTTTTAACTCAATGCTATAATTTGGTTTTGGCTTATTGGACTTCTGAAATGACATTTTTCAAGTTTACATTAATTATACAATGGACCAGTACACTTCACTGCGTCATTAAGTATCTCTTATCTTAAAGGAAATGGTCTATACATGAACTCAGTTTCATGTCTTTTACTTCCAGTATTCTAAATAAGGATTAGGATTAGTAAAGAAGCCATAGATTCTGCAGTAACTGATTAGTTTGACCGGTTCTGTTATGCACTGGTGGGGTACCAATCCAGTGAGAATTCTGTTTGTTCTTGCAGCCAAAATAAGTTTTTAAAATTGATTACTTTATCTAGAAGTGCTAAAAAGCCTAAATATTTAAAAAAAAAAAAAACCCACCCAAAGTAAGTGTTGCTAAACAAATTCTTTTTCTTTCCTATCTATTCTGTTAAAGGCATGTAACACCAGAGAAATTCTATGTGGAAGCTTGTGATGATGGAGCTGATGATGTGCTTGCTATTGATAGAGTCTCCACAGAAGTCACTCTTACAGGTACTCTCTCACCAGTACTTCTCAAGATAGACCACCTCAGTCTCTTGGTCTGTTATTTTGCTCCAAGTCTACTATTTTGCTCCAGGCAGTCCCAGAAGATCTTCAAAAGCTTAAATTGGTATTGAGATAACATGCTATCTTGAATTGCTGTTTGTCTGTTTGTTTTTAAAATAGTGCTTTGTATTTTATGTGGCAAAAAACTTCTTACATGTAATGCTTTTTCACTAGAATTGATGTTGTGAGTAACAAGGGGGATTATGCTTGCCTGTTTTTGGTGAAACTCTGTCACAACAGTAAAAACTGACTTGCCCAAACTGTTTGGGGTTGATGCTGCAAGTCCAAGGTCAGTCATGGAAGAAGTTGATCACTGGGCTTTTGCAGCTTTTGCTGACTTGTCTCAGTGATGCTGTTTTATTTTTTTGGTACTGAAATATGGTTTTTTCATAAAGCCTTAAAACAACAACAGCAAAAAACCTTTCCTATGAGTTGTTAGCTGTGAATCTGGATTGGAAAGTCACTGCAAATAGTCATGCTGGCACTGAGGTCTTCAAAGCTTTAATTTTTCTTTAATAGGTCTTTTTAAAGAATGTGAATTCGGTGCATTAAAGAAATCAAAAAAACTTATGATGACTTGAAATTAAGGCAAAGATGAACTCCTTCATGATGCTTCAGGAGTTTGTACCTTAGCATTACTATGGTACTTCTGTCTGTCTGGAGACTAGCAACACTAATATTAAAAGCAGTCATTCCTCTTCTATTAGACCTGTTCTGTACCTCATATAAGAACAATGTGCTCATCCCACTGCTATTCTTGGTGTTGTGGTATAGTATTTCAATTTCTCCTTCAAAGTTGCTCCTTCAAAACTGTAAGGATGACTATCCCCCGGCTTTTGTTAGTCTACCATCTCTTCCCATCTGTGACGTTTCATCAGCTGAACCTGCTGCTGCTAGATCAATATATTTAGTTTGCAACTCTGTATCTTTACAGAGGTGATTAAAGCAAAGGTAAAATCAAGCCCCATCTTTCTCTGTTCTCCGAACTCAACTAGCGATCAGGGAAGATGCCCAACTTTGTTTTATAAATTGTCATTCGCATCCCTTCTGCTACTCTAGAAATCTGTAGAGAGAAGAAAGTTTAACATGTTAGCACTTGCAATTGTTATTTGGACCCTGCTTATATTCCTTACTGTGTCTATACTGCAGTTGGTAGCTTTGCAGAGATGGGTGGAAGAGCAAACTCAGGTTATTGGAATTGAAGTAGACTGAGGCTAAGAAGAAGCAATCAAAAGTGGGATGCCCAAGTATTTGTGATTTGTTGTCTTTGGTGTCTTGATGATTTCAAAACAAAAAGCTTCTGGATGCTGGCAGGGCAACGCGTTACTGAGGAGTCCCCTGCCAGACTGTTACGTAAATGAAATGAGCTTGGATTTATGCTATGGGATGACTGTTTTGATTAAACAACATAAAAAATTGAGTTAGAACGCTTCT